GAGAGAGAGAGAGAGAGAGAGAGAGAGAGAGAGAGAGAGAGAGAGAGAGAGAGAGAGAGGAATGCTTGTTACTGATTACACGATTTGTTGATGATGCAACTTGTACCAAAGATTGTGCCAACATTTGATTTTATGGGGTTATCCTAAGCTGCAGAATTGTAAGAATCGTAACATGTTTTCATAAGACTTGTAACTTATGAAATTTTATGCAATATCTTTACAGCAGCTTCTTGCTAGCAATAATATTTACGAGGACTCGTAGACATTTTTGAATGATTATACGTCTTATGATAGAATTACAACTCTACAAGTCACGAGTTCTTACAAGAGAACAAGTTACAATTCTTACAATTCTATCTAGAACTATTAACTTATATGAATCTACGAGTTGAATAAAAAATAAAACAGATTTTTATACGTTGCTCATGCATATTTATATATTATATGTATATATACGTGTGATACTGTATATACATATAAATATACATATCTGGTGATATTAAGAGAATAATAATTAGAGAGAGAGTTAGACAATACGCTCATATCATCGTTGGTAATTCCGACATATTGTTATAAAGTGCTAACCTGTCTGCATGCAGTACCTACTAAAATTATCAACAAAGAAAACTAAATAATCGATATCGATGCAAGCCTTTTATTTGCACTTTGATATTAATGTACATACACTTTTTTGAGCGTTTAAATTAATTAGTGTGTAAGAAACGAATCGACTGATCGACAAAGTTGCTGGCAAAGTTGTGGAAGTAAGTGCCTTTTGTAGGAGCAAAGTGCGTCTATTTATACTGGGTGTCTCAAATGCCGAACGAGTTTAAAACGTTCTCGAGCCAAGACGAGAAAGTAAACGTGCCGTGAGACACTTGGTGAGAGTAACGTGGTTACTAAAAGTGCCTTAATAAATTATGCCGCTTGGCTCTATCATACTTATTATATTGTGCCTTTAACTTTTTAAGAATCCTCGTTCACAGCATACGACAGCACTGAAGGAACATTTATGGCCAAACGAAGAATAAACTGTATAAAATATAATGTGAAACATGCACAATTTATTTTTCCTGAACACAAAATTCTCTCTTCCTCTCCTACGAAACTGAATATGCATGTGTCTTACCTCGAAAACGAACGACTCTACCTGCGTCTTTTTTTTTGCAATTCGTTGCAAATTTTTTTAAAATTATTATTATTATTATTATAAATTCAAGTATATGTATATATACTATATTATAAACATTTGTCAGGCATTTAACACAACAATTTCATATGAATCTATCTTTCTCACCTTTATCATCGAAACTTTTATCATTGATAAAAATATATATTAATATTAAAAATATAGTATACGTATATAAAGATATTTCCGATAAGACAAGCTCTCTCTCTCTCTCTCTCTCTCTCTCTCTCTCTCTCTCTCTCTCTCTTTCTCTCTCTCTGTCATAATAAAGATTCATTTATTATCATCATAAGTTGAGCTAAAATCTTCCTTTTTACATGAAAATCGTGAGATTTTTCAGAAAGAGTACGTGGAATGTTGCGGTATTTCAAGTATCGCACACTAATCGATCGCTGTTAAATTATAGCAATTAAAGCTATAAGAATACGATACGTTTGTCACGAGCGGTTGACAATGGTTTAACATCGCGACTGTCGGAAATGACGAGCTAGAGTGGCAACGAAGCGAGATAGAAAGGAACTCGAGCGTCTAAGACCTCTGTGGAATGACGAGACTGACTCGACGTTCGCCGTGATTGATGGCTGCGCGAGGAACAACGCTGTGTAAACATATTACAAGCGTATGCTTAATGATCGTCAGTGCAGGCTATACATTCTCCCGCTCTAACTAAACGTTTTGCACTCCGTGATTCATTCCACAAAGGAAAGAAATCTCATTCGAAAAAGAAAAATAAAAATCTTATTCAAGGATACAAATTTTTTCACTCTTTTTCAATAGTAACTTTCAACACTTTGGAGTACTTTAACTTTGGAGTACTTTAACTTTTTTTGGAGTGAGAATTTAGAGGGCCGTTACATTTTAACTCTTCGTTGCATCGAGTGCGCCAAAGTATTAACAAATAATAATCAGATCTTGTAAATTATATACAGTTGATTCTTACAACAATGATAATAAACTGTCGATAATACATAGACAGGTTATAGTATATATTGTATATAGTATATATTGTATGTATATATCGCTTACAGGATATATCAATTAGTAATAAAGTGTTTCACATTGTTCATTGATATCGCGATTTTTTCACATTCCACAAATTTAGAGACTAATTGTAAATACAATATATATTTTTTCTTAAATTTGTATACATATTGCATTAATTATTATACATATATCTTTATACCATGTATAGCTTAATTATATTAATTACAAGCATATTATAGCTAATTAATATATAGTAGCAATTATTTTACGAAATCTTGTTAATTTATTTGGTGTGAAATTGGGGCATCGTATATATGTAATACATTGCACGTATAGATATGTAGTAAGTAAGACTTTTGTGTGGTCGCACACGAGATTATTATGAGAAAAATACAGTGTGTGTCTCGACAAGGGAGGTCTTGTCATACTTTTGACACCTTAACCCTAAGAGTAATATAAAGCTGCGCAAGATGTCAAATACACAGAGAAAAGCCCATGCTTATCGACGGCGCGTGACGTCGCCGCGCCACGGCAGTAAAAAGACACCCTTTTCCCCTTCTTTACCATATTCTTTCATCTTCGCATCGTTATAGGTACATTGCGACATTTGCGACTAACCAGAGTTAACCCTCACCGAGAGGTCAACCGCGACTCTCACTCGCCACCATGCAATATCAGCGACCGACACCACTTCTCGCGACGCGATAGCTCTTCCAGATTAACTAACATCGAGAAATAAAGGACAATAAAAAAATCTTTATCGTCAACTCAAAGAAATGAGTTTACGTAAGTTTATTTTTCTTTTGTTAAAAACAATAGCCAATCTCTTAATTATATATTATCAAGATACATATGTATCTGTCATAAAAGGAGAAATAACACTAGCCTATATAAATTTATATACTCTTGTTGGATCATAGTTTGAACGAAATTAATCATTTCCCAGCTTTTTTAGACGCCAAACATGAAGTCGGTTTTCAATTTAGGCTATCACGTCATAATTTTTAATTCATTTTAAATTATAATATTTTTATAATAATTGTACATGTGTGTGTGTGTGTGTGTGTGTGTGTGTGTGTGTGTGTGTGTGTGTGTGTGTGTGTGTGTGTGTGTGTGTGTGCAGATTCCTTTTCTACATGCACTTATTTATTAGTCCTTACAAACCCTCTTTATCGCGAAGGCGTAACCGATAACTTTTAAGGAAGTGTCTGGAATCTTTCACTCTCCCGTCATGTCATTCTGAGTATCTTTTCTAACGGATCCAATTTTTGACTGGGTTTTCTCTTACAATCAGTTAACGAACGCTGAATCAAAATGCTCACGCTGCTATTGTTTTGCGTGCCACTATAAGTGGAATATTAATCATGTACATACTTTATTCTACATATTATTATAAAAAACAATCGTATGTGGAATAGGATCGAAAGAGAGGCATTATTATTAGACATATTGACTCGAAAAAATTCTCATTTAAGTCTAACAGCAGACAGATAATAGGAGGTAATAACACATTTCAGTCTATCAAAAATCATATACATATATTGATATAGGTACACAGTTTCTATATAGGTTGAAATCTGTTCTTTCTTCCGATTACCTATGTTTTTCAATTGGGCACTGCCAGGCTTTTAAAAAAATTACTTGTTTCTTCTTGTATTCCTTCTTTAATTAATTCTTATGGCTGCTACTAACAATATACAAATATGTACAAAAAAGAATTAACCAATTTATATTGATCTTCACAACGTCTGTTATTGCTATTTCGTTTATATCTCGGTAATACCAAATGAAATCGAAAGTACCTACCTATCAAATGTACATACCAGTTATACCTAATGAAAATTAACGATAGCTATAGAGTGTGTAGCACGAGTGTGGAGGAGCTTAATAAATCTTTCTAATTTTCCGGTAGTGGCTTGTTGGTCGCGGATCAAAGACCGACAAATGAATCGCTCAGTAGATGGAGAGGAAAAAGAGGAAGGAGGAAAGAAGGGGCGTGCATCCATATATTCAGGAGGAAGGTTATGGATGGACCATGCCATGGACCATGAATCTGTCATCGTCACGTACTACGGATCGTACGAATTCGTATATCGTGTGTACACGGTGGCAGAGCTTTTATAGTTTCCACATCGTCGACACGGCACAACGCTTTCTGAATTTTCGAAGAAGCTCTCGTGATTAAATTGTATACATGTGCATATGTGTGTGCGCGCGCGCGCGCGCGCGCGCGCGCGTGTGTGTGTGTGTGTGTGTAAATATATACAAAACGCGAAAAAAAGTGATGAAATCTCTAAATACATCGCGAAATTTTTTTCATGAAAAAAATATTTCAAATAATATTTTCATAGTTCGAGACCATTGCAAAACGATTACAAGCTTTTTATATCATACATTTTTATAAGATATCAATGTTGTCGCGCTCTTTTTGAAAAACTTAATTCGCGAAAAATCTTTTTTCAATTTTTTTTTTAAAGGAAAAAAATTAAGACAAAAATTAAGCTCTATTCTTTTAAGCCTATTTTATATATATATATATTACATCGATCTACGAATCTGTTATGATTTTATCGCCCTATGCTGTTTTTGTATTATATATTTTCATACAATGCACATCTCGATATCTTGTAATTTGGTATCGTAACCGATACTTCTTCGGACTCTCTATGAATACGTGTTACTCTGAAGAGACAAAACTACTTTCCCGACTCGCGGACCAAATCAGGCCCTCTGAAGCTCTGAACAGTGAAACGGCTCAGATCCGAGGAAACGCATCGCGAAGCGGTGCGGATGCGAAGAAGTTCATATTCCGCGCACGAATACGGGCGCAATGACAGATTTACAGATTCCAGCCATCGCCGTCTTCCTCTACGGGGCGGATTCTTAAAGCGGAAAGCGCGTCTCAACGACCCCCGCACGCACCAACGAGTCAGTGTGCACGTCAAATCGCACCTCGACTGTTTACGCTTCACGTCTGCAACCTTTTCATTTCCTTTCCGACCCTATCTTACTGCTCGACTCTCTTTCGCTTTCACCGTCGACCGCTTTGCCCTCTCTCTCTCCTTCTCCCCAATCATTACTCGCTTCTGTATTTTGACTTCCCCAACACTTGGTAAACTTTTCCTTTTGCGTAAAAGTTATTTAAGTCTGCGAGAAAGAGAGAGAGAAAGAGAGAGAGAGAGAGAGAGAGAGAGAGAGAGAGAGAGAGAGAGAGAGAGAGAGAGAGAGAGAGAAATCATGTGCGTGCGGGTAAACATTCCAGCGAGATTTTTATCAATTCTTATCAACTTGCTCATCACATTGATCAAGCTAATCGATAAATTTCAATCTTATTTATTGTACAACTTTTATTTCTTATTACGATTAAGCACTTTTGTGTCAACATTATCAACTTGCTTGCAGTATCTGATACATACATATATGTGAAGGAGGCAGGTATGGAAAGTTACTTTGTAAAAGTAATTATTAATTAATTACAATTTTTTTCTCCCAAAAAGCAATTACCATTACAAGTTATTGACTCTGAAAAATAACTCGTTATAATTACAGTTATTGAAAAAGTGACTTTCAGTTATTTTTTTCAGCAGAATTTTCAGTAGAACATTACAAATAACATCGATATCATTAGGGTTGCATTTAGAAACGTTACTCTATATATCATTGCATCCTTATTGTTCATTTAACATTAAATAAGGGATACACGGGATCACACTAGAGTGAAATCTCAAGAAAAAAAACTCTGATTATTATTTACGTTTACATGTTGCTATACAATTTTATTTAAAAAAAATAAAAAAATTGTACGGCAAAGACTTTCTTTTGAGAATTAGCTTCAGCACTAGCAATGAATATAAACGCAGCCATAATCAATCGCATATAAGTTACGGTCTACTTGATGCTACAAATGACAGTGTTTAGCAGAAAAGGCAGCTTTGCAACTGTTGTAAAATTCTTTGATGTGATTGTTCTTGCTCTTAGTTCCTTACTAGATCTAAATGTATAGACCAATCATTGAGTATTGAAGAATCGTACATCAATTGCAAAGCTGCTTTTTCTGCTGAACATAGTCAGCAGTTTTGAAGCATTCCCTGATTGATCAATTGAAAGGTTTCAAAGCCTTTGTAAGTCTTCGTCAAGTGGACCACACACTAAATTGACAAACAAGTTGACAAATGAATTTGAAATACAGAAAGTAATTATTAAATTAGTTTTTAGTTACTTAAACGACGTAACTATGTTAAGTTATCGGAAAAAGTAACTCTTAACTGTATCATTAACTTTGTTAAAATCAAGTAACGAGTTACTTCCTATCCCTGATAGGAGATCGCCCCCTTTTATTCACGACCAAATATATAAGTAAGGTAAACTTGTGTCGCAGGCACGGTCACGGTCCGCGTCTGTCTTCGCCTGTTCCGTTTGCTTGGATAGTTTTCATTCTCTCGCCGATAGACACGTCCGTCTTCTTCCTTTTTTGAACATCTGCTTTGGCATTCGTAAAGTATCATGTACTTATGTACTTAATATTTATGGGGTTTATATTCGACAAATATAAATATT